AACACTGGTGGCCATTTTTTAGTCTCCCCGCAGGGAGCCGATTGTTCCATCATCCCTCTCAAACTTGAGGAACATATATAGCCTTGGATTCATTTAGGGTGGGACGCCCCAAAATCATGTTATAGGCCGTCAGCTCTTCAACAACTAAGAACCGGACCACCATGTGGCGTCCCCCCCCCTTTTTTGCCCAGACGAATGGGTAGGTCTATTCGACCCACCGGATGTACTACACCACCTCCAAATCCCACTAAGGGATGAGAGACCTGGTTCATGCTCTCGGGCTTGTACCTAAGTTAGGCCAGGCACTTGTGACTGATGAGATCAGACAAGCTCCTGGTATCAATGAGGATCCGACCAACCCTTTGGTTGGCCACTTTGCATTCGATGATAATAGGGTCATCATGTGGCCTTCTGATTTTGCCCCTGTCATCCTCAGTAACGACAACTTCAGGGAAGGAATCCTTGGAAGCTTGACCCTCGTTGACCGAGTTGATGTCGAGCCGTCTGATGTAGTCCTTGTTACCTCGGATCGTTTGGCCGCCTCCAGCAAAGCTGCCTGCTATTGTATAGATCGAAGTTTCATCAGTGTCCGAACTATTAGCAGAATGAGTCTTCTTCTTTGACAACTACCCAGGGTTAGTTTGCAAGGTAACCTTGGACCTCAAGACATAAGACTTGAGAGCTCCTTTATCAGCTAGACTGTCCAACAGCCGCTTGAGACTAAAGCATTCGTTGGTGTCATGGCCAATATCCTCATGGTAGTGGCAATATTTATTTTTGTTCCGATTTTTGGCGGAACCTTTCATAGGAGCTGGCTTCTCAATAGAGACTCGGTCCTTAATCTCCATGAGGATGGAGTAACGATCTTTATTGAAATCGTACTTCGGGGAGTACGTTTTCGCTTCTCTCTTTTTCTTCTAGGCCGGCTGTTCAGAAGTATCAGCCACCCAGACTTCTTTTCTTTTCTTTTCTTTCTTGGCCGATTGTATTGGCCGACTCTCTTTTTTGTCAGACCTCTTTGAGTCCGACTGTTTACTGATGTTGCAGAGCTCGGTCGCCTGTATATAGGCGTTCACCTCCATCAGTGCCTCTTGGAGGATAACAACCCTCTTTCTGACAAGATCGAACTTTAAGGCCAACCCGTCCTTCAGACCTTTGAAAAAGTCTGTATAGGCCACCTCATCAGACAGTCCTTGAATCTGAATTTTCATCAGATTGAACCGCCTGATATATGAGCGCAGCCCTTCCTTCTCACCCTGCTGTATTGCTCCCAAGTCAAGACTTGTTTCTTTGCAGGGATATTCATTGAGAAGTTTGACGCAAACAAGTATGCAAGCGTCTTGAAATTATTGATGCTTTCGGCTGGAAGGTTGCCGAACCATTGCTGGGCAACGCCCTTCAATGTGGCCGGGAAGTATCTACACCATGGTGCATCATCCAACCCTTGAAGATACATAAGGTTGGTGTATGCCATCAGGTGGTCTTCCGGGTTGGTGGTACCGTCATAGGCACCTACCGACACATTTCTTACCTTGGCCGGCTAGGCAGCCTCTGTTATTTCTTTGGAAAAAGCAGAGGGTTGTTCCCCCAGTCTTAGCAGTCGGAGCTTCCAGTCCAAAGGCTGGACATTTTGTGCCGCCTGCCCCCAGAAGAGGGTAAGCTGCATATATGGTTATCCATACGACATGTTTGGCTGTTGAGGCGCATACGGGGCCGCCTGGAGCATTTGAGGACTAGAGTGGGCGGACATGCCGCCTGTCTGGTCCTCTCGGTTTGATTGAGAATACCTCATGGAGGTATTCTGAAAGCTGTCATTGAAGTTCGACGTTGAGGCTGACTCTGACAGTTGCATGTTCTTCTTCTGCAGGATTAACAACCGGGCATCTAAATAAGTTTTTTTTTAACCATCCGGTTCTACATGCCGGATGACCTTCCTCTTTCTTGGCTCAGGGAAACGAAGTCTGGCCAAATTTATCAAGGGCTTCTGTCCCTCCCTTGGTTTAGGGTAAGGAGTGACCTCTCAGTCTTTGACCGGCTTATTCTTCCCAGAATGGGAGAGCTTTTTGGCCGACTGTTCTTTGGTAGGGACAACCGTCCGTTTATCGATTAGGTCCTTAATCTCCCCTTTGAAACTTGTCATGAGCTCGTTTCTGGTGATGGGGACGGAGTCTTCGGCCGCCTGAGGTTGACCGGCTGGTTCGCCAAGGCAGCCTGTTCGACAGTCTGTTCCTTCCTTTCGAGGGGACGGATGCGCCAGGTTCTTAGGAACCCGTCAGGGGCCGTGTGTGTGTCGACCTCACAGTCGTCATCTGTATCCTGGTTTGTATAGACCTGGACATCGGCAATAGGCCGTTTCTCATTAAGAGGCGGTACAGGTTCTTGCGAAGTCATCTCAGAAGTACTCTCCCCACAGACGGCGCCAAATGTTTCGAGGTATTTTTGGATGTCCTGCGGGAGAGTTACAACACCAAGACTGACCTCTGGATACCTGTACCTGCAAAACAACGGAGACTCCTGTTGGTGGGAGTTCCGCTTCCGACGATCAAGTTAGAACGTGTTCGAATATAAAAAGTGCGAAAAGTAAAGGGGATCAGGCTACTCTCGAAAGGGGAGTGATCATCCGACTGCTTGAGACAGTCTCGAAATCCGAGTCTTAGCTCTCGAGAAGTGCAATTAAAGCTGGAGGTAATACTTAACAATTAATGTAAACGTGTGTTTTATAATCTCTGAATCCTGTTCCTCAGAGGGAACATCTCCCTTTTATAGGGTCTTTGAAACGCGGGCCCAGTACTAGGTTTTCAGAAACCTAGGACTGACTGGGCTTGCCTAGGTATTTGGGCCTTTAAAGGCCATTTTCCCAGTTGGCAATCTGCCTGCCACGTGTCGTGGCCTAATTGGTGCACCTTGGACCTCTCACAAAGTGACACGGGTGGGGCTCTGATTGGTCCACATGAATGACACGTGGCAGGGTTTTATTGGTCCACGTGGCGGGTGAAATCTCCTAATCAAACTGTATAAGTAGAAACATGCCCTATAGAAGGGCAAAGAAACAAGCTCTAACTTACTGTAGTATAACCACACATCCTAACCAAGACCTTTGAGTCTAATCTAATAGGTTGCGGCTATCATAGCCAAGACATAAAAAATAATTTCCTTTGAAACAGTTTTCACAAAAATCTCTTCTACAAGATATAATTTTATTTAAAATATGTCATCTTTCAGCACTTAACGTGTACAATACGAGTCAATTATTGTTTTTTTCATAATTAATATCACCCGTCGAAACTTGATATGCATACTAGGTGATTGTTACCCACGCTCAATTATTTGTCAGCCAGGGGTGACAAAAATCTAATGTCTAGGAACTTAGGAGACCTTACACGGAATTGGATGGTTACGTTTTTATTCTTACGTGTGGAATGGATAATTTGTGACGTTTACATTTGATGAGTTTTTGGAATCGAGTTTTTGGAATCTTTATAAGTACTATAATAACAGCGTGCAACGCCCCCACATGTATTATGTAGCAGTAGTACCACTTGCAAATCGACATTATTAATTTATTATACTTTGTGGTTGGATTCTACAATAAAATCAAGTAACTCCACTTCCATATAGTACTTCGTAATTTATTTTTATTTTTTTTTGAATAATTCCATATTTCCATATAGTACATCTTTAAATGCCGTAGATTACACTTTGTGGCTAGATTGCAATAAAATCAAGTATCATGGTAATTTGGGTCAAGTTGACATTTAAGATGGTGTTTATTTAGGGGTATAACGGGAGGGATAAGGATAAGAAGAGAGGAATAGAAGAAAGTTAGTGTTTGTTTAGGCGGATGAGAATTAGAAAGGGGTTGGGGATGGGGATAAAATAATTCCTTATTCCTCCATTTCTACAACAGGGAGAGGGAGTGGTATAAGGGAAAAAGATAGAAAATGGGTTTAAAAAGACTTAAGTATTAAACATGGGATAATAATTATACCGTATTTATCCTTAAACATCCTAACAATTCCCTATCTTTATTCTCCCTCTTTATCCTATCCCTCGTACCAACCCCGTTTAGGGTTTTTAAATCACCCAGAAAACGGGTTTGTTTTCAGGGTGGTTTCGGGTGGCTTTAGGGTTTCGGAGGCCGGCGAATGGGGGAAGGGAGGGTCGTTTTCAGGGTGGCGGAAATGGGAGGAGGGTGGAGTTGGGGAGAGGGAAATTGAGGAGGGGGTGTTCGGGGGAAAGGGAGAGGGTTGAGGTGGGTATTGTGGCCGGGGGAGGGAGGATGGGAGGCGGCCAGCCATGAGTGGGGGTCAGGCTGGGCTAGGGGGCGACGGTGGTTGGGACTGGTGGGGGTTTTTTTTTTTGTTTTTTTTGATAAATTTTTTTCAAGTTTTTTTAATTAATTATTTAAATAATTAATTAAACAATATTTATAAGAACCCATGAGTAACTTCCACGTGGCACAATTAACCTTGTAACAATTTTCATGAACTTATGGTTATATTATATGTTGAATTTGAAAATTTTCGTGGGTATATAAAGTTAAAACTCAGATTTTTTGGGTGGTAGTAAAATAAAATAAAATTTTAAATCGATAGCAAAACTCAAAATGGTGCTGTTTAGTGGTAGTAAAAATCAAATTTCCCTTAAAATTATAAAGTACCACCAAAAAAAAAAAAAAAAAAAAAAAAAAAACAACGTTGCATTCTTGCAACTAAACATTACAGAGGAAGTACTTTCCAATATACGAATCATAAAGTATTCTGTAAATTAGAGTTAATAATGGTTTAGCTGTTTAGGTATCCATTGACTAGGGTGAAAAATGAAATGAGTAATCCTAAAAAATAAAAAGTATAGAGCGGTTTTCTCTAAACTTCCCAAAAAGTTTGTTATTAAAATATAGTAGTACTTCGCATTAGATACCCACTCTTTTCAATCAATAGTTTCCTTTAACGTTGTTCTACAATAAGTAAAAAGATTAATAAAAGATGGTGGGAAAATCATTTGCAAATCATAATCAAGTCATTATCAATGTGATAAACAAACAGGTCACAAAAAGGAGAACAATTAGTGTTGTATAATCTCCATAGTAATTTTCACAATGTACAGTTGCTTATGGAAATCAGAACAGTTCTAAAAACAGTTGGGAGAGCTCAAAAGCATGCCTTTTCCCTGTAATTTTAAACAAGTCAAAGAAGTCAGTTGAGCCAAAAATGAAAAAGAAGATGATGAAAAACAACCTCTTCTCGGAGACAAAAACGCCTAAAGAAATCCTGAGAATGAAATCTAAACAACCATGTCAAAACCCTAAAAGACGCACACCAATTACCATCTTTCGCAACTCAACAACCAGAAGCAACGAAGAAACAAGAAGGCAGAAAAGCTGTCTTGGCAACATAATTCTCTCTTGAACCAAGTCCCTCAGTTTCTGTGCGGCAATACATCACTTTCTTACTCGCTGCCTGTTGTTCTACTGGCATGCCACTTCATGAAACCTTCTTCAAGGGCTTGTCGCATCCATGGGTGCCGGCAACAATCTAGAGCTTCGGGTATGGTTAACCAACTCCTCTGCCGTGTACTCTGTTCTGGCCAGTACTCCAGCTCCTCCTTCACAAGCAATGCAAACATAGCAGCCTTGCATAAACCTTCCGGGCTGAAATCATCTTGCAGGGTTTTGCTCTTAAAGTCATAGTAACCCAAACAATCCTGGGAAATGAGAGAAGCCTTTTAAAGAACAAGAAAGTCCAACAAAATTTATATACTTTGGCTCTGTATGTATAAACTTGTGTGTGTGTGTGGGGGGGGGGGGGGGGGGGGGGGGGAAGATGAAAGCTGCAGATTTAATATCTAATAGAGACTGTTCTGAAAGAGCATCATCTAATAGAGATTGTTCTGAAAGGGCATCATCTAATAGAGACTGTTCTAAAAGAGCATAAATTTTTGGACATCGCAGAAGTCAGTAAAATGGTATAGTCACAGAGTTAAAATTCTTAAAATGCCAGAGTGACCCACAAGCATAAGTTTTCAGGAAAAGAAATTGGTTTAGAGGTAGACACTCTGTCTAGAAACTTTTGCACTTCTTTTTTTGGTTTAATTAATGTATTTATTTCTGATGTATGACATGACAGCTTCAAAAGCCTCTTTAAAATAATCCATATATAGCAAAGTAATACAACACTATACCCCATACAAATAGCCTAGACATATGATGGCTTACCTATATGGCTATGTAGTTGCCTAGAGGTTTTTATATGATAAAACATTGTGCGATACAGAAAGGCAAAAGCCAAGACTGTAAAGGATCATCTAACATCCTTATTGTCAAAGATAAAAGAGTATAGTTCACTGAGATATTTAGTTGTCCTTCACAATTCAAAGTTCAAGAATAGCCAGTTGTTAGCTGATTCAGCTCTGTGAACAATAATATTGGCACTAAGATCAATAGTGAGGACCAAAATAACTGAGAGATTTATCAACTAGCACCAATAAGAGAATATTAAAAACAAGACGGAATAAAAAAAAAGCCTAGAGTTGTTTGGAGCCAAAATAGCTATATATTGCAACATTAATATGAAGTATGAACAACATTTGTTGGGAGCCAATATAACTAATTATTGCTTCAAGATAATCACATCACTAATATTTATATTTTAGTACAAACAACAAACCCAAAGCCCTAAAATTCCCAAATGATAGTCATTGATTTCAAAAGCAAGAGTTTCAGGTGATAAATACACCAAAGTTTTTTTTTTAAAAAAGCAAAAGCATAGGACACCAGCCTCTTCTACTGCAAACAATTCAAATTATCTGCAAGAATACCAGAATATTCTAACTTTTCAGAAATGAAAAATGCAAACAATCCAAATTATCTGGAAGAATACCAGAATATTTTAAACAAAATTAAAAGTCCTAACCAATATGTCGCCTTTGACACCAGCCTCTTCTATTGCTTCACGCCTTGCTGCCTCCTCTACAGTTTCATCATTCTCCCAACCACCCTAGATTTTGACAAAGTAATAAAAAATTTAAGCAAAGGTATAATTAGAAAAATGCTCTTTAAGATTTAAGTGCAATATTTTGAACTTTAGCAACCAAATCTTACAGTCAGCAAAACCTGAAACAGACCTCAAATTCACCAGAAAAGGGTAACTTCCAAGTCACCATCAACCACATTCATAAAAAAGAATCGAAATATTTGGCAACTAGGAACCTCTATAATATGTTTAAAAAAAAAAAGTGCTGCATAGATGTCACTTTCCATAATAGAAATCTAGAGCAGAGAAGGTAGCTTCTACTCAAAATAATTTAATTCAGGTAAACATACAATGTCCCAGCTGAGCAGTGACAATATAACAATATTATAGCGAGTTCCACGTCGGCTAAAAAATCATCAAATGCACTAGATAGACATGAGTTTAATCAATATGTCAAAACACCAATCTTTCTTCATTGATGACTACCAGCCTGTTAGTTGAAAGAAACCATAGGTATAGAGAAAGACAGGCAAGGAAGTCCCCGCAAATGCTATTTATATATGAATAAGAAATATACTAGTACATTATTGGTTTATTGGTAGATGAAGATGAAAAGAAAAAATTCCAAATTCTATACATTACTATGATCCAAGTCGGTAGAAACTAAATAGATGATTCTTTATATACTTCTGCAATTGCCACCCACTTCTATATATTTCCTCTGCGTCTTATTGCTTACAAGTTACGGCTTTGATTTCCATGTTTGCCAATGCACAACTTTGACTCATAATATCATGAGAAAGACCAATAGTAATCTGCAATCCATACCTTTTAAATTGGATAAAATAATATTGAACCAAAGGTTCAATTCCCAAAGCCCCCGGAATTCCATTATCTTTCTTCATCAATTGTACATAAGAAAGACAAATGATGGCCCTTTCCAATCCTTTTTCTATTTTTTTTTTTTGAGGAGGGGGAGGGGGAAAAAAATCCCCCAAGAAGAAAAAAAATAGGTCTAATCTTGGCTACCCCTTCTATGGCATCCTCACTTCTCAAGTAATACAGAGATCACCAGGAAGACTGGAACAGAAAAGGGGAGTTTGATCAAAGGCATGCATATTCTTACCCTATGAGCCACAACGACTTTCGAAAGAGTGCTAGTTAACACTCAATTATCAATCAAAACATAATGTAAAACTAAACTAGAAGGTGCCATTCACACACATAAATTTACTGAGACCCAAGGGCATTAATGTGTGCAGACAATTTACTGGTAGTATTTGCTATTTGCAACTGCAAAGTAAACCAGAAAAATTAGAGAGAACACATGAGCACATTACTTAGACACCATCTAAAATTTAGAAGCAAGCAACTCAGCACTTATTTAGCACATAAAAGGGCATATACTCCTAAATAAGCAAACAAAACCCCTGCAGCAAACTAGATAACTAATACATGGAAATCCCCACAAATGAAAGGTACATTGACCTCCAGGAAACAGGTCTGTAAAAATGAGTATAGCCGAAAAGTTACAAATTTGCCAACTTAAGCGAATACTATATCTACCCTAGCATTTTAGTGGTTTATTAGTCCTTATAATACATTGTTCTCATCATGTTCATTCCATATCCTTGGCCAAGACTCTTCCTTTTGGGCTCCCAGCCGGAAAGAATATTCCTAACTTGGAGAATATAGGGAATACAAAATAAATGTAAAGAGTAATAATTAGAGAAATTATCAGAACTTCTACTTTAAAGATATATGAATTACTCTGACCACTGAGAAATGACAAGCTGCTGTGATACACAGAGATCTCCAATACCAGTGAATTAGTGTTGAGCAACTACAAAGGAGAAGACCGCATTTTTAATACCATGAATGGACCAATAGTCATACTCTCCTAACAACCAGGATTATGATGATAAACATTGCAAGAAACATTCAAGGAAGATCATCTCAAAATGGAAGCCACTATGTCATGCCCTTAACACACAGTTTCCATGCCCATTATCTTCATCATATTAAGAGCCTTTCAAAAATCCATAGGATACAGGAACCATGCCATGCCCTAGTTCAAAACTTTTCATGGCTAATCACAATAACAAGCACAAAATCGAATCAGCTCAAAATACATTTCAGTTGTCCAGCAGATACCCAAAGACAAGCTGGTTGTAATAAAATGACATTATAAGTTGTGGACTATAGATAACTTAGGGAATAAGTAGAGTTGAGGGGAAAAAAAATCAGAACATATCTAAAAAAAAGGGAACAAGGAGAGAGAATGAATAAAGACTTTACTGTGGTTATAGTTGCTTAGTTTGGAAGTACCAGGTCACTTGAAGTCCTGAAATTGTATCACTCAAAAAAATGATTCAATTTTTTCCGAACTTCTCTTCTTAATATTACATTATTAACCAACCTTCAATTACATCTATATTCAAGTTTAAACCTAAGAATAATAATCTTTTTCGCTTATTTTTTATCTTCAAGCTTCCAGTCCATGACACTGATTTTTATTCATCATTTAAATTCCTTCAGACGCACAGGTGATTCAAAGAATGAAGTGCTTCGAAGCAGATAAATTCACCTATGCCACCAAATCTCTCACTGTCTCACATTTCCCTATCCCCCAATATATAAGTAAAGACCAAAATAAGTTTCATGATTTGTTTATCTAATAGTTGTGAACCTCAATCCATAAGAGTGTTCAATGGGTGACTTGGAGGAGCTTTCCAAGGGTATCTCCAAAAAATGACAACTAGATCTACCCCAACAATGGGAAACCTGGTTGTATCTTGATTCTTGAGCGCCTATCTATGGAGAGAGACTTTGCTTTGCAGGAGCCACCAAATTTCAAGGACAGCTAGTTCTACCCCTTCGTTGTATGACGCGTGTCCATGGCTCTCCAATATTTTAAGGGCTGCACTTTGGTGGATCTCCATGGAGAGACAGTGACCATCGTCGGGGTTTTTTGGGTTGAGAAAGAGAAAGAGAGACCAAAGTACATACTCTTAGGCATCAAGTAATAGAGAGTAAGTAGAGACTGTGCCAAGATGGATAAATGTTCATCACTCATGGCCAACACTCTATTGTATACATGAAAAATTCCTATTCGCATCAATTTTCACATCTTCTTTTCAGCATAATGTACTTCATAAGCTCCTGTAACTACTTTCAATGAAGGTTAATAAGCTTTCTATGTTGGTGCGGAGGCTTAGATATACCAGTTATCTAAGGCAAAGTGCCCATGGGGGTTCTTATAGAAATGTATTTGTACAAGTCTTTCCTTAAATGCTTAGCTATTCCACCATAATAAATGCTTAGCTATTCCACCATAATGAACCTATAAACTGAAGTCATTTCATTAAGACATTAGAAAGGAAGGGTTAGCCTAATAGTAGAACATTCTTAAACAGAGTGGCTTTGGGAAAGATATAAATGATATGGTCAAGTAACAGAGACAAAGTTGGTCATCTAGCTACATACTAAGTAGTAAAATCATTGTTGCATAACTTGTTTCCTCATCAAGTGGCTCAATATCATTGTAAAAAGTTTACATGGGGGCTGTAATGACAGATTCACAACTAAGGAGAAATGGAATCAAAGGAAACACCCATCTTTATGACTAGATGCAAATCATGCATTAGTGTTGCCATCTCCAGATCCCCCAAAATTCAAGTTAAACCAAGAAAGTGTCAACAAAATCACCTTAGGAAACAGAAGACCTGGTCCACTAGTTGAGTTGATCATAAGCACTTCCACAATCTTCTCAGAATCTGTTCCATCACTTTCTTCAGAATTTCTATATCTAAAAGGGATACACCTGCAAATAAATTTATAGTTAAATTGTGCAATTCTCCTGACTATTGAGAACATGTAAAAAGGTAATACTAAATTTCAGCATGTCCTACATATAAGAGTACAAGAGGTGAACTTAAGATCTCTTTAATTGTTTGTTCGCGTGTGTATGTGTGTGTGTGTGTGTGTGTGTGTTGGGGGGGGGGGTTGAGATCAAGCAAGAACATGCCTTATCCAAAGCTTACCAAAAGCATGACGTGCTCAAGGATCCATGTTGCAGCCCTCCCCCCCCCACCCACACACACGCACACACACAAAAGCCCACCTTTTGTATGTTGTTACCAATCACAAGTGAATCATTTGTAGCCCTTATTTCAACCCCCCATTCTCTCATCTCATGTTGCCAATCCTCAAAATTGAAAAAGAAAGGTAAATTTGTGTGACAATTAGTCATTGTTTTAGAGATAAATCCTTGTGCTACTAGTCTACAAGACTACAACTACTACCAATAAAGAAAAATCTATTTTGTTTTTCAAAAGTGCTCTTATAAAAAATCTTGAAGTAATCTTTCCACTACTTCCAACTAGTCTAGGGTAAAGATGTGAATATAAAAAACCTCTCCAAACCCGACACACAATGAGTTCATACTCCAAAGATGTTGAGATTTGCTTAGAATCGTTATGCGTTAGCAAACAGCATAAGCATTTGGCATTTGCACTTTGCTCAAAACATTTAGAGCAACCAAACACAAACACCTTGATTAGGGTCCAGCAAAAAACCAAACTGAGCAATATTGCTCAAATCAAAGTCTCAAACCTTATTAAACATACACTTTCAATATGCTCAAACTAAGAGCATGACATGCTCAAGGATGTTGCAGCCCCAACTCCCCCCCCCCCCCTAAAAAAAAAGGCCCCACCTTTTGAATGTGCTTACCAATTGTAAGAGAATTATGGGCAGTCCTTATTAATACCCCCCCCCCCCTCTTTTCTCTCTCACTTCTCATATTGGCAGTCCACAAAAACGAAAAAGAAAGGTTAATATGTGTGACAGCTAGCTAGTCCATCTTTTAGAAATGGAAGCTTGTGCTACTACCAATAAAGAAAAATCTATTTGATTTTTCAAAAGATCTCTTGGAAAAAAAAAACCTTGAGGTAATCTTTCGATTACTTCTAAACAGCATGGGGTAAAGATGTGAAAATAAAAACCTCTCCAAACCTGACACACAATGAATTCATACTCAGGAGATGTTGTTAGGATATTTGCTTAAAATCATTCCACGTTAGCCAACAACATAAGAATTTCACATTTGCACTACTCTTTTCTCAAAACATTACAGAGCAACCAAACACAAACACCTTAATTAGGGTCCAGGCAGCAAAAAATCCCAACTGAGTGCTCAAAACCTCATTAAACATCAACTTTCGATATGGCTGCAAGACAAACCTTTAGCAGCTTCAAATGCAATCATTGTTTAAAAACGTGATCAACCTCCCCAATTTTATGTCCCAAAATCAAAGACTTGAACATCTTCCCAAAGAATTCAATTTAATGACAGAAATGAAAGAAATTCTAAGCACTATTCCATACGAGTTGTTATATACCAATAACCATATAGCTTGACCAATTCTAGCAATGACAATTATGTACTAACATTCTAACAACCCCTTTTCATTTTATAATAAAAAAGATTAAATACCATTCAGCCATAATCATTAAAACAAATCAAGAGCATTGAAACAATTATCAGCCACTTGACCCAAAAAAGACTTGACCAAAAAAACAAAATAACATAATTCCTTTTCTTATGTACAGAGAGACCGGAATGATAGCAATATAGACAGGATTCGATTTCAAGTCAAGATTAGCATCCCGATATTGTACCAACTAAACTAGTCGACATCCACATAATAAATAAATTGACAATAATAATACACAAAAATGGAAACATTTATATGATTATTCTGCATAAACTACACTAAAAGCATAAAAATTGTATGAAAGAAGAAAATACCCAGCAACAAGACGACAGCCATCTTCATAGCGTTGCTGTTGTCGACCAGTGCGTGCTACCAATTCAGACATTTTTCCTTGTTTTTCACAACATCCAACAGACCCCATCTTTTATGAATCTCATCCTATTCTAAAACCAAGTAATTTAAAATAAAAACAACAAAAATTCCTGCAATCAATCAACTAATCAACGAATCAATCAATTTCAAGAAAACCCCAGAAATACCCATGAATTTATTTGCCTAAATTATGATTCTGAATGCAAAAAATGCATTGTTCCTCATAATTCTGAAACAAAAAAGGGAGGGATAATACAAACAGTTAAGGGGTTGTTCTCTTTCGCGGTTATTCCGCAGAAAGAGAGAGGAAATAGTAAGAAGGGGAAATTGAAAAAAAGGGGGGTTGGGATGATGATGAGATGTCGGTTAACAATCAGATTACATTGTGGACAGAGGGAAGAAAAAGGGAGGTAGGTTCTAATTTCTGTCGCCCACAACCCCAAGAACCAAAAATTAAGAACAAACTTTGTGTGAAAAAAGGTGGTGGATTCTAAACCATACAAAAACACACTACGATACGAGGCGAACACAAGACGTACTAGACTATAACCTCTTAACCTAAATTAAGTATAGAAAATATGAACTTTAAGATTAGCACAATGAATTAAATCGTCACGAGTTTAATATGAAAGCACATTAATGATTATTTAAACATCTATTGATACAATGGTCGACATATGGAACATAATAACACACATAGAAGTGTCAATTTGGGTTACTAGGTCATATTCGGTTGGGTCTAGGCAGGTCAAGTCTTTTTTTTTTATTGGAGTTATGTTAAAACACAATGTCCATACAAGTCAAAATCTAAATCAGATCATTTTCGAGTTAGATTTAGTTAGGTTGAGTCAGGTCGATTATTGACATCTCTAATAAAGATGATTAAAATAGGTAAGTGAGTCTACATACTCTACATGTCTAATCATTAACTAATTATATTAGGTTAATCAATGTCAAGCATTTTGACTCATTTAATTAAATGAATTAAGTTATTACTAAAGATTTTTTATTATTTAACAAGAACACAAATTTGATATGAGATGATTTACATTTCCACTTCTAGTTTATTTTATTTGCATTAATGTGAGGTGAAAATGGAATAAAGCAGGATTATAAACATGTGTACGTAGACTTTAAAAGCAAACCCAAACATGAAATAATTTATTTATTTATTATTTATTTATTTATTTTTTGAATGGCAAACATGAAATAAATTATTCATCTTTTATTGATTTTGGAAGTAGAAGAGAAATATTTTCATATTCTATCATAATGAATTAATGATAACAAAGTTAACATTAAACCCTAACCTCCAAAGAATTTTGGTTACAAACTTACAATTATAACAAACTAAACACTCATCTCTCTACATTTAGACATCATCTTACTTCTCTCCTTTTAAACAGCGTACACTAAGCCACCGAAATTGTCAAATGAAGGATTAAAGATGCATAATACTCCCACCGTCCCTAAATATTTGCCCCATTTTCCCATATAGTTCGACCCTTTACTTTAGCCCCATACTATTTTTGGTTGTAAATAATTAGACCACATCTCACAACCACTAAATCTAACACTACCACTTTTCTCTCTTATCAACTCCTATCAACCAAAAATTACAAAAAGTGACTACATCCCATTGGAGCAAAATAGTATGAAGTAAAAGGAAACAAAGGAGTGACAAATTCACTTAAAGATGGGGTATTCCATTGCTCTTCTATTATGTTATGAGCTTTTTGCCAAATGTTTTTTTTTGTGCCAAACGTTTATTAGGCCAAATTGGTTTAAAAAAACACAATTGAGCTACACACCAAAAAAAAAAATTAAAACGAAAAGCTTATATTCAATGATCCCGTTCTCAAGTGAAGTCTTGTTTTCACTTAGAGCACCCACATTGGTGGGCTAGCTCACCATTTTCTCTTTTTTACTTTTTTACTCCACATCATCTCCACATCATTTTCCACTAATATGAGTTACCATTGTAAGTCACTCTTCTAATTTTTTCTACAAAGGTGAGTTACCCCACAATTCTCTTTCCTACTTTTATCAATACCCTCACCAATTATTATTATTATTATTATTATTATTATTATTATTATTATTATAGTGATTTAATGTTAACAAATTCAATTCTTTTAATTATTAAAGTGGTCACTACTTAATTTAATAATATAATTAATGTCTACAATAATAACTAATTAATGACCTTATGTTTTAATTATTATATCTAAAAACTATTAAATTAGTCTTGTTGAGCATGAGTAGTTTCAAAATTATTAAACATACATTAAATTATTATATAAATTAAAACAACAATGTTACAATCAAATTATTGGATTAAAAATAATAAGAAAAAACATAACAACAGAAATATCCTAAAAAATAAAAAGCTTTCTCCGACTACTAGTTACCATCATTCATTACCAAAGTGACGCCATATATGTTCAAGCAAGTCTTTCTTCAATGACATATGAGTCTCACTATTTCGTACATTATTTCTATTTGCCATATAACCCGCTAAACTTAGTTTGTCTAATCTTCCACGTCTCACTATGAATGGTTCGTTGTCACCTTGATTTGATGATTCGCCAACATTTTGAGGTTGGTCAGAGATAAATTCAGATGCATCATAATGCAAATAACTTTCTCGTTCATCTTCAACAATCATATTATGCATGATAATACATGCCATAATAATTTTCCATAAGATTTATGTTGACCATGCGAGAGCTGGTTGGCGTATTATAGCGAATCGAGCTTGTAACACTCCAAAGGCACGTTCAACATCTTTGCGATAACTTTCTTGCTTTTGTGTAAATAATCTTTGTTTAGCGGTTTGTGGAAGCTTGATTGTTGGGATAAATGCTGCCCATTTTGGATATATACCATCTGTAAGATAGTATCCCATATGATATGTATTTCCGTTGACATTGAAACTAACTTGTGGGGCTCGACCTTCACAATATCATCAAACATTGGTGACCGTTAAAGGACATTTATATCATTGAGGGAACCTGGTGTGCCAAAAAAAGCATGCCATATCCACAAGTGTTGCGACGCAACTGCTTCTAAAATGATGGTTGTTGTTTTACTTCTTCCTTGATACATTCCATTCCAAGCACGTGGATAATTTTTCCACTCCCAATGCATACAATCAATGCTCCCCAACATATCAGAAAATCCACGAACATTACTTTCACGAAGAAGTCGTTTTACATCTGTGGGTGTCACCCTCCTCAAATATTCTTGTCCAAAATTTGAGATAACCCCTTCGAAAAAGTGTCCAAGACATTCTCTAGCTGTACTTGCTGCAATTTTGAGGTATTTGTCAACTGCATCAGCTGCTGAACCATAAGCCAACATCCTAATAGCTGCAGTGCATTTTTGTAATGCAGATGCACCGAGTCTTCCGGTAGCGTCAGGCCTTTGTTGAAAGTATACATCTCTTTCACTTAATTTTGTAACAATGCGCTGGAAAACATGTTTACGCATGCGAAATCTAGCTTCAACGAAACATAGTGTCATTGTAAAGTGGTTGTGGACTAAAGTAGTCATTGTATAGCCTTGAGTCAGCATCTTCACGGTCTCTTGGTACATACTACCTTTTTTTCTTCACAGCATGAGTGGATGGGACTTGAAAAGATGAGGTCACAAGAGGGACAACAGCGGAATTGGTTGCTTCCTCAATCAATTCATCTTCTTTACGTCGCTGAGTAATTGATTCATTCCACTCAACATAATCGTTCACCATATATTCAAAAACTCCTAAACTTGATGAATTAGATGAATTTGAATCAAAGTCCATTTTTGAGGAAAAAAAAAACAAATGGAAAGTAGAAAGTAGTGTTTAGACTTAGGTTTTTATTTTGTTAACAAAAGATATTTTTATTTGCGTGTATTAACTACAAAGGTAAACTACTATATATAGAAATTCATAAGATATATGGGCACACAACTCAAGAAGATGAGATTTCTGATGAGATATCCAGATTTCCATCCAATAGCAATTAAAGTTAATGCACACAACTCTAGACAATTAGATTTTGGATAAAGGATTAGATTTCTATCCAATTACGATTCATTGTATGTGCACACGGTAATCTAGTAGATAATATTATTGATAATGTTCTCATATTGCCATCCAATTACAACTAATGTCTGACATCCCATTCTAGAAGATGAAAGAATTACAACATTAAGGGATATAACAATAACTAATTAAAACACTCCTTAAATAAATAATAAAAGCATTACAACATTAAAGGATATAACCATAACATTACAAATTAATAAACTAAACATCATAACTGAAGACAAACTACAAATTTAAGCTTAAATTAACTTAAAAGACGCTCAAACTAGCCTAAGAGATGGCTAAATTCCTCTTTTAATTTCTGAAGAAGATTTCATCATCTTCGGTGAGGTGTGATTTTGCAAGTAGAACACTGAATAATTTGAACCTCTTCTTCTCCTCTTTTCTCTGTCTCTTCATAATATCTCGCTCCTTTTGATAATCCAGCATTTGTTTTGCTACATCTGCTCGTTTCTCATCAACATTTAAGTATTGCCCTTTCATCATATTCATCTCTAATAGGGCTTGGGTGAACGAATCTAAACTATTAATTCCAGAACTAGCAACTGATCTACCTTTTCTTTTAGCCATTTTCACCCCATCGGGTCGTCCACGTCTTCCGTCATCTGTAGGAGTATCTGGTTCTGATCTTTTGGAGCTATCACTTTCACTGGTTTCCGGCACTTGTTTGTTGGCCTCCATTTATCACAATTACGCAACTCTTCCCATACACTGAGTAAAGTGAATCGTGCTCCATTTTGTGTTGCTCTATACATTTCTTGAGCATCAGTCATGACATTGTGTTTGTTGGTACCACTACCATTTCTACGTTGTGCTGCTGCGTAGCAACCGACCCACTCGTTTAATTCTTTGTTAATTCTACCCCATCGACCTTTCATAGCCCTCAAAGTTCTACGTTGGATGATAGAAGGCTTTTCTACCCTAGCTAGCTCATACAAATCATATATACCTTTCCACATATCCCTCAAAGTCTGATCTTTCGCCTTCGTTGGATCATCAAGTGCACAATGAATCCAAGAGGATACAAGTGCATCGTCTTTTTATGCTCCCCACTTACTACTGGAAGCGTTGTTACTCTCTTTTGGATCTACCACGTCAACCTCTTCATCATCATTGTCATCATCAGTAGCATTGATTTCGGGAGGAGTTTTGTTACTACTTCCATCACCCTCGGGAGTTGCTGGATTATTATCTAGTTGGTTAACAAAATGTTGAGACATTGGAAACGTTGCACCAGATGAATAATTCCGGGGAAATTGATGCACGAATTGTTATTGAAATTGGTTTGGAAATTGCTATGGGAATCGGTTAGAAAATTGTTGATTTGGAGACATTATTGGCCGATTAGGAATGTTATAATATAACATTCTTTGAACATTTGGATTAGAAAGGGTATTTGGGTCAAATTGAAAATTAGCTTGAAAATTTGGAGAATTGAAATTCATTTGGTAATTTGGATTGTTTGGGGAGTAGAAATTATTTCCCATATTTGGATTATTAGGATCCATAAGTAGGGTTATTATTTTTTGGATTTAGACAATGTGAAAATTAAATGTTGTGGGTTAATAAGAGAGGGTAAAAATTTAGTTGTGAAAAAATATGTCAATATTAGACTCTATTTATAGATAAAATTATTACAATCTCAACGGTAATTTATTTTTTTTTAAAAGCAATGTAGAATTTTTTTTATTACCGTTATAAAATATTTAACTCTTATAAAACTATACAAATTATTGGCAAATGTTCATGCAAATAGCTAACGGCTACAAAATTCAAATAGTAACCAAGTGTCTGTTTTGGTACTGACGCAACATCAGATATCAGGTACTTTCTTACAAAACCGACGTCGTGTTACACAATTAGAAGGCAAAAAAAAATTAAAATAATGAACTTGATGCACACGGTCCAAGGATGGCCTGGAAGAGAGAAGTGCCTCATGAGGTGAGTAACTCACAAGTCACCATTTACAATGGTGAGCTACCCCAAAATATGAGAGAGAGTGGTGTGGGGAGGTTAGTGAGTTACTCATTGTGGGTGCTCTTATACCATACTAGACATTGTACGCGAAAAATCTGTAAGCATATGAATGTGCCCGAAAGCTCAACTTTATTCCACCAAGAGATGTAGCCAGCAGTGTCAAAAGTATACTTTCTAGTTTTCTATAAGTTTACGACACAAGTTAACAACAACAACAACAATGACAACAACCACAACTACAACCACAACCACAACCACAACCACAATCACCAGTCCACCACCCCCACACCTAGTTGTAATCCACTAAGGCAGGGCTCGAGGAGGATCCACTATATGCAGCCTTACCCCCAATCTGTAAAAGACTATAGAAGATTTTCTGAGTTTATGTACGGATACATGTATCTTTTGTGAGCAACAAAAGATTTTTAAAGAATTTTGAAGCAAAGCCCTCTGGCAAGCCAAAACTGGAGTCAGTAGTCATATCATCATATCAATGCATCAGTAACTCCTGATAATCTTTTTCACTGAAGAATACGTCCCCAAGGCTCCACTGACAACACCCAACACGACAATGGCAGTGCTTATTATCACCTAAAAGTAAAGAAAAGAAACGAGGATGAGTACAATGAGAAACTAAAACCAGCCTTGAAAACAAAAAAAAAAAAAAATCAGGTAAATAAGCTGTCTGTAAGCTAACATTCATCTTCATTTGTGTTGAAAGATCCTTAGACACGCGCTTTTTTAACCTCAAAAGTTATATCCGTTTTTTTTTTTTTTTTTTCCTTTTTACTGATTTGTCATCTCCTTGTAAATTCTACCTCAACATGATTTTCCAGTGAAAGGAACAAAAGGTTAATTAAGCGCAATCACTAAGAAAGCAACCAGCTGTTGGTTTGTTGTGCAACAAGGAATCCTGTGCCCACCATTGTGAAGAAGAGTGGTTGCTGAATAACCCTGCAACAACGGAAGGCATAGGATCCTCTGATGCGTATGGAAGTTTGAACAAGCATGATTGTCTAGTTTTAGTCAATTTCCTGAACTCTTTTGCCCCCGTACGAAGTAAGGTTAATGAAAAAACAACTCTTCCTCTCTTTTCAGACCATGACTAAGTAACGTAAGCCTCACAATATCTAATGACAATAACACTCCACAATCTCCACAAATAAGCAAAATAGATTGTGTTGGCAAACCTGCATCTTTGTCGCCTTCTTTTCCATAATTTTTAAAAAGCATAGAGCTGGAAAGATTACAGCCTGCATCACAAAAGGACACATGAACAATATTCATAAGCATAGGTTCATAGCATGCTAATCAGAATCCAACGTGGCATGAGAAGTAAACTAGGGGAAGAACACCAAGGCAATATCCAAATTAAACTGCAATGTGATTCAATATAGTGTGTACTCTACATATGAGCATGCTTACCACAAGAATACTCAAAAGCGAACCGATTAAAGCCATCAGAAGACCTGCAGCCATAAGACAAGACAATTAATGAATACTGGCCAAATTTTATATCAGGAAACTTCATTGAAAAGATATCAAAGACATTAGAAAAAGAAACAAAGAACATTAACACATAGGGTTATCAAATATTAACCAGACGTCCATAACAAACTAGAGCAACTAAATCTCCAAAACCCTCCGTGTAAACTTAGTTGTCACCTTGTCCCAATCCTTATGATTAATTTTACAAAAGTCCAATTGTGCCTTTTTTATTCTTCCCCATTGCTAGCTTAAAGTAGTGGCATATTGCAATATTAAATCATTACTCATTAGTAAACTAGAAAAAAGTGATAACTTCCACCAAATATCCTAAAAAAGAATATGTGATACAAAGCAGTATGAGACTATTAATGTTGGAGGGAGGAAGGTAGCATATTGGAAAATTAAGTCAACTTAATTAGAAGAAAGAAAAAGGCACTGAGAATTAAGCTGTTTCACCAAAAGAGAGGTTGTCAGTTTATTGGGAGAAAAATGAAAAAGATGCAAGGCTTCTTCCAAACTGCAGAGTGCAAGGATGTTACCAGTCTTGTATCAATTAAAACTTTTCAGCCTATTTCACTCTTTTTTTCTATGATCTTCTAAGAGTTAAGACATGATCCACAAAAAGTAAGACAACTTCTGGCATATCTAACTCCAGCTTACAAAATCTGTTTCTTCTTTAGTTATATTCTTCAAAGCAAAACTATACCATGATCTGGATTAGAAAATTTTAACAGTTGAATCCCAGTGTAAAGTACATACCGAAAAATGGAACTGAGAAAGCTACACAAAGTGTGGAAACAACAAGACTTGTCCGTAGAACAAAGAAACACCAGTTGCTGTTAGCAATATGGGCTGGCAACAGCTCCTCTATTCCTCGAGCTAGTGGGTTCAACAATAATGCATACGTATACGATGTCAAGGATTCACAAAACAAGTCCTAGAGGACAGCATGTATCATATATATCTGTAAACAAAGAAATGACTTCTAATGAAAAAAAGAAAAAGAAAAGGATATTTTGTAAATGGGTTGATCACCTGCACAGAAGAAAACAGAAAATTGTAAGTGTTCCTACTTGAATGTTGGGCAAATATAATTTAAAAAAAAAAAAAAAATGAAATCTATCACATACAGTTGTCCAGAGTGCAACATTGGAAACAACCAAATCCTTTGGCATGTTTAGAGTGATTTGGGATAGAGTGCCCTCGCCAAACATAAGAAATCCCATGACAGCAACACTTCCATATATCAAAACACATATAGCAAAACTGCACAGCAGGTAGGAGTAGACATTAATAACAAGAAACATAAAAACCACAAAGCTCCAAATATTGCTTCTGAGTCTACAGGTAATAAGCTTTCGCCATACCTGGTTATCAATGCTGCTGTAAATTGTTTCTTGTCAGCCATTGATTGATAGATATTGGGGAAAACTGAATGACCTGAGTAGCAGAATCCATACACACCAATAGCAAAGGGCATGCCACTCCAATTTACAAGTTTTCCTGTGTGATGAAAGCCAAGCCCATCCACCGTTCCAAGATACAGAACACAAAAAACAATCATCACTGTTGCAATAACTCCACCAGCTGCACAGGGAAAAAATTCCGCATACCATATGGGTTATTCCAAGTAAAAACACATATAAAAACTGTATTAGACATGAAGAAATTGATAACTTACCTGAAAGGTAAGAAATTAAGCGTAAATTTTTCAGCCACACTGTTGGTAGAACAATTAGGGCAGTGAGCAATGCAAACACATGCGTTGAATCAAGGTAAAAGCCACCCCAACTTAACGACATCCCAGGGAATAGCCTGGTAAGATTGTCCCCCTCCATTATAATGAATTCTACACAATATGACTGCACAAAACATATAAACATTAAGAAAATTTTGAAGGAAAACTGTAGTTCATGATGTAATAAGAATCTCAAATTTCACTTACATATAGCTCCACATACAAGGCAATCTGCAGAGGGAATGAAAAAGATAATTTAGGTTAGTTTATATATTTCTTTCTCAAAGATAGGAAACACAGAAGCAAATAGCATATTCTAAAACAGTTGGGTATACTTACATAGTCATGCTCTCGACAATATCTTCCAGCAAATTTCAATATCATAGACTCATAGAGGTCTTACTAATTCCCGGAAAAAAAAAAAAAAAAGAGAGAGAGAGAGAGAGAGAAGGAATTTAATATCACAGTAAACAATCAAGGAACTCACTGATAGGAATAGACGTCCATATTTTCCAAATGCAGCTTCACCAATGTCTGGATAAGTGATAATCCCTGCTTTACTTTCGAAGCAATATCTCATAAGCGAGGCTGTATAACAACATACCATAGCAAAGAGGAATAAGAATGCCAGGCTCAGCCAACCAGCTTCTTCTATTGTATAAGGAGTAGATAGAAGCCCAACTCCAGCCATAACATTTATCCCTGCAAGAAAACAAACATTAAAGAGAACTCGATTGTTATAAAATGGAAAATTATAGTTGAAATCTGAGAATTTCAGTCATTTAAAGATCATGGTATAAAAGCTTGTAATAGTTTAATTAGACGTTTGAATTGCAATAGTTATCGTGCCCATATTAGATTGAACGGAATCTAATTTTTGATGCAAAAGTTTATCAAATAGGCTTTCCTAAGGGATACGACTTAGTCTTGATCCTATTCATATGTCATTTACTTTAGTGAAGGAAGCTGCTTTTAGAAAAGAGTTTTTGCCTGCAAGAACATTCCTCATATAGGTACTTCATCAGTACTTTTCAGGGATTTTCAGGATAAGATAAAAAGGATCAAATCTTTGAATCTAGTACTAAGTATTTACACTATAGTCTCTATTTAGATGTTTCACTGAAAAACAAAAAAGAGAGCTTATTTCAATCAAAGCAAAAACTCAATCAGAAAAGGAAAAAAAAAATGCAAGTACGTCTAGTCGTGCACAAATATTATTAGCTAGAGAACCTGTGTACTTTTCCAGGATATTCCAGGGAAAAAAGATGAAAAACTTTCTTACAGCATTTACATACACTGTTGGGTTGGTAGGCTCTATGGATTTTTAAACACAATCTTAAAGAGAGATTAAAAAGGTATTCTCACCATTGAATACAGTTTGAGTGAAAGTGCATCCTTGACCAATAGGTAGCTCTCCAGCAAGATGTTCATGCAAGGATCCTAATGCAGATATCCTCGATGGCACTTTCGATAACTTGTCATAGTCTTCTTTCTGGTATCTGCTCCCATATTCAGAAAGCAAGGGAGTCTTATTTCCATCAACATCTATGTTACTTCTGCTGCGAAAGCTAAGCAAGCTAGGAGTTCGACCAAGCAGTCCAAACCCTGGGGACGCAGCAAGTGTATACGAATCCGTTGTCTCTCTATCGAAAACATGAAAACACAAAAGGCAGTTATGAAGATATAACGCTTCCCATCACACAATTACTCCTATACAGTAAATATAGCAAGTTGACAACAATTTAATTCTAGTAACCATAGTGACCAAGTGTTACAAATCAAATTAACCTAACTCATCATTAGATAAAAACCATCAAAGTACAATAAAAAAGCAAAAGTGAAACCAAGATTAAGGCACAGACGAAAGTAGAAAGCGTAATCAACAAAAAGGAACGGAGATAGTACAAACTACGAAGTGCAAGTACATATCATAATCCTATCACTCCTACTCAAACAAACCAAAGAAGCAAACTTATACATCAATTCTTTATAAGCCTACATTTGTTTAATCTCTTCCGTTGGATTCGGCTACTTCTACATTCAAAACCTACAATTATTACTCATATAGTTCATATAAAACAAATTTTACAAATTAAGCCCAGCACCCCAATAAAACCCCACAAGTTCAAACCAATTTTTTTGCCACTAAAATTGAATTGGGCAAAATATAATTAATCCCCCCAACAATTAATGGAGACAAGTCCCCACTCATCTATACACAATTAGATTGTTTTTATTTCATTGTGCATTCAAATTCCTTAATAATTAGCTAAAAATACATAGAATTTTAAAAAATCACAAATTTTCCAAATTAATTACTCAAAATTATGCACCCTTTTTAGAATTGCTAAAAGTGAGAGAATCTCAAATAATCAAACAATTATTCTAAACAATCATAAACTCAACTATTCAATTACAGTATAAAAAAATGCAGAAAAATAGAAAAAATTACCTGAAACTCTGAGGCCAAGTTTGAGAGGTAAAAATTTCACCTTCATCATCATCAACATTGTTATCATAATCAACATTATCATCATCTTCATTATCATCACTGCTACAACTATTAACCCTGTTATCTTCTAAATCATGTTCATCTTCCAAATCAAACTGGGTATCATCTCTATCTTTTCCCGCCATAACAACTACTGCAAATTTCAGCAATTAAAACCCAGAATTTAATATTAAGAACCCAGAAGTTTTTTTTTATTAATTTATGAATAAAGATTGAAACTTTTTCCAATCTTTTAGGTTAAAAAAACAGAGAGGCGGTGAGACGATGATTATGAAAATGATAAATTAATCAAAAAAGAAAGAAATGGACAAAATGGGAGGACAGAGAAAGTGAAAGAGGAGTCTAGAAAGAAGTTTGATTATTGGTGTGATTGGACCGTTGAAGCCATTGTTGTTGGGTTGTAATGTTTGTGTTTGCTCTGCTTTTTATAGCTTGGTAAGAAGTGTGCCCTGTTTTCATTTGTTTTCCGAGATTTTCTCGGTTTATGATTTCCTTTGTAATGTTCTAGACTGAGGTGTAAAATTCTCTATGTAAGAATGTAATTAGGAGTTGCGGAGTATCATTCCTAGGGCCTTGGGATAAGTAAAGATAGTATTGGGCCAGGTTGGCCCATGGGATGGCACAACCTGGCATGTTAAAAAAAAAAAATAACGACAGAAAAACATGATAAGACACAATATGCCCTAACATGATTTGAAATGATAGCATAATACATGACATGTGCTTGGGCAAACTTGACATGTAACAAGGATCGAGTATGAACCGGCGATCCTAGCAAATCCAAGGAACGAAGAACCAACACGAGGCACAATCCACATATGTCTTTAGTGGTAAGGAGTCCAAATTTTAGAAAATTGCACCAAATTTTAGACCACTAGATGCACAAAAATGTAAAAATTGGTTAAATTAATGATGTGGTACACTTTGACCACATTCTTTAACAAAACGAGATCTAATTTTGTAAAGGTCTTACCTCAAATACTAAAAATTTGGAGTTTGAATCTCCTCAAGTGATGGTGCTTGGGGGTAAAATTTCTCTTACCTTCCCCTTAATTTCAAGTGTTTGACCCACAAATATATCAAAAAAAAATAAAAAATCGTGAGGGTTAAAGTATAATAAATTAAATTGTTTCATTTTTCATTTTGATAAAGTCAATTTAACTATGAAGATTGACAATGCGAAACTTAAATTTTTATTTTTATTTTTTGGGAATGTATGAACACAATGTTAAGGTACTATGGTATTATTTTATTATTGAAACAAAAACTTAGAAAACTCTAGCAAGCAATAGCTTGACTTTATTTTAAAATCAAAAAACTTTGGAATGTAAGGTTGACCACGAATTCAATACAAAAAATACAAATGATAAACCTTCTAAACCAAGCATAAGAAAGAGTAAGAATATACATACAAGCACAACAAAATCATTAGAAATATATAAAGAGAATCAAGTTGCCTTCATTTTGAGGAAATGCACTATACTAATCCCAACCCACAAGTCTTTTCATAGTATATCTTATTGTTCTTTTAAGCTTATCTATGCAACGTATGTTTGCGTCAAATTCTTGCATTAATTTCGTTTATTGCAACTCATATTCAAACTAACATTACAAGAAAAGAGGGAGCTCAAGAAAAAAGGAAGATCAAATTTGAAGATATGGGTCAATCGCTGTTGAAACTAACTCCTGGTACAATCCCTTCTTCTTTGGTAACCCTAGAGTTGATCACTAGTTGGCCGGTTTGTGTCGAGCTTTAATTAAAGAAAAAAAAGGTTTATACGAAGTATAAATTATGGTTTAAATGGAAATTTCGAGCCACCAAAAGTGATCAACTCTAGGTCAAACTAAATCTTTTTATACTACTTTGTTATTGATAAATTTCTACGTAATGACTATTTAAATAATATAATAAACATTTTACAATTTTCTAATTTATAAGTACATATCATCCAAATTTGTTAATAGTAATATGTGTTAGTATAAATCGTTTTGATATTATCGAATGTTTTTGAAGGCCTAGCTACACATCAACAAAGCAAATGTCATCATCAAATCTTAAGTTAGCTTAATTAAATTTTATCTATTTATAAGTTGCCTTAAATAATTGCACAATTGAAACATTTTACTAACTTGTTCTCTACAAGAAATTATCAACCGATCAATTGTTGATTTTTTAATTATTTTGAGGTTATCAGGATCATATAACAGACAAAGTCTAGTAACTTATGCTAAACACAATCTTTTTTATTAAAATGGTAAATAACACAATCTTAATTAATGTTTTGTAGGAAATGAGGTGACAAAGTCCAAGTTGGATGAAATAGCAGGAAAATGTTACGAGGACTTCTCAAACATGTTAAACAATAAGGACTTGACGGAACCCGAACTATTTTGTGAGTTCTACAGAGCAGTTTGTGAAACAGTAGAGTATGTCTTTCAACTCCAATTTGTTTCACAAACAATCTTCACCTTCTGATTTAAATCTTAGATTTGATTTCTGTGCAGAGAGATCAATAGCAGTGTTGGCAACACCCAATTTCGATTACCAAAGGAAGAAGTTCTTAGGAAAGCATTTGAAGTAAGCTGGGTTTTGGTTCTTTATTACTCGTACAATTTTATTTTTTCTACGTATAGCACGGGTATAGAATTTTAATTGGACCTTTATGAACCCACATTGAATGATGCAGACATAATTCAATTTCATAATTTGGATACCATGTTCCACAATTGTACCGATAAAGTTAGTTAACAAAATAACAAACAGCACATGCATACACATATTTGTTTTTGTTGCTACGCTAAAAAAATTATGTCATACTCACACGTATACATCTATTTAAGTCACTTATCCGTGACACGTAAGAACACGGGCTAACAAATTAAATGTGTTGACAAATAATAAATGCAGACACACCACAAAGGCAAAGAAAGATTGTCCGAACAAGAGTTCCAAAAGATTCTTCAAGATGCAATAATGGAAACAGGATTTACGGGCATTGGAGCAAAGGATGTTATACTTTACATCTTTGGAGTTCCTGCAACTACATTTCTCATCAAAAAAGGAGTTTTTCCTAGAGCAATTCCTGACGGTTTTTTCATCCCTGCTGTTACCTCTGCCACTGTATTTGCTCTTTCCAAATTTAACAAGATATGATATAATCATCGAGTAATCATGTACTCCGTAGTAAATGATGTAACGCGTGTTTGATTATACAAATGTTTTCTAGAAATTTGTTGTAACATGAGGCTCATAATGTACATTGTTTTGGGTGTAATGAAATATCACAAGCAAACCTATGCAATATACATGCATACATGCCTTAATAAATATGTCACACTGCACATATCTTTGTTTCTTCAAGTGCAAATCTACAATCTGTTACTTTGTTTGATAATCGACAAATAATTTACCAAACATTTATGCAATTAAAAAGTCAGAAGGCCAATAAAAATACAAGTAGCAAGAAAAATGCATTTTCATTACAAAATCTGACTGGAAATCGTACAAACATACAGTTATTTATTCAACAAAAAATCTCCTAAAGTACCGTCTTTTGCTCTTTTCTCCTCTATACACAATACTTATCCGAAAATGGACATTTGAAAAAGAACTTATAGAATACAAATTGAATGCTTAATGTTGGACTCCACTAGAAATATCAACAGCAGTTGCCTAATTTGCATTTGGTGCTGTAAGCTGTCTTTTGTTATATACTGCTGTGTACATTTAGCTTCAAGACAATGAAAGCAACACTGCAACAGCTACTGTTATACGCGTAACAAATGCTACGTACACTAAATCGAGAGGCACCCCCGGCCTTATAGGAGCAAGCTTAGCGTGTTCTTCGCGCCTGCTGGAAAGCACACAGAGTAGTCTTTCTACTTATAATGACCTGTTAGTCTGTTACCCAAATCAGGAGAAGAAACATGTTGGTAATATCAAATGTTGTTTGGTTTTAAGCATCTTCCGCGAAAATCTTAAAAATAAAATCACGAAAGCGTTTGGAGTAGAGTTTTGGATCTACAGCTGATATTGAGGTAGCATCATACTGCATTGCCTTATAAGCATGCTCGAGTTTTTTGCTAATGTCGTAATCTTGAAGTATGTCTATGATCCCAAAGAACATTACAACGTCGTAGTATTCTCCAACCGGCTCCAATACCTGTAATTCACCATCCATTTTCCTCACAGCTCTCTCAACTTGTGCTGGCATATTGATTCCTAACTTAACACTAGCCCACCTGAAATAATGTGAAGCACGTCAGACTAACTAGTCAGTGTTGCTTCTGCTGCAGCTTAACAAAAGCTAGATATAATTATCATTGTAAGATGAAATGAAGTATTATTAGCTTTCAAATAAGATCAATGTAGAAGTAAACTGCTCCTAAGATGACAGCTTAGAAACACTCACCAGGCTGGATCAATTAGAAGTTGATCCATATCTACTTTGGAAAGACGAGGAGCTCCTGGTTCACTTTCTTGTTCATCACAGCCTGTGAGTTAAAATCGAGTCATGTTTATCTAGATAATCAAGATAAATACATGTTTTGTCCGTAAATAGTTGTCACATTGTTCTAACCCTTCAATGATTTTACTAAAAGACTGTCAATTGAAGTCATATTGTCATGTCACAGCAGGAATTATAATCATAATCATTTGCTAAATGGGAAATGTGACAGCTTTTTTCGGACATTCTACTATAGTATGTGTGACTAACCAATAGGTGTTCGGGATCCAGAAGGAATCAGGTCCCCTGCTTTGGAGGCTTCCCTAAAATGAAGGCCAACTAGCAAGCTGTAGTCCATAATTCTCTCCTGTTCCAAAAACTCACAATCTCTATCGACTTGTCTGCATATAAGTAACAGAAATGAATTATGAAACTGAAAATGTTCAACCAGAAAATGTTGCAAATCAAAGGACATGTTATAAGGTACCTGCAGAAATCTTGGAACCATGACTTCTGCAGTCGAAAAATGAAGTTAAGATCAAGGTCTTTGAGTATTGTACTTGCATCTAACTCTTCCTCAGGCTTATCTGTTGAGCGGCCAAGTGAAGATCCTTTCAAGTCAAAACGTCGATGAATGGTGTGCTCGGTGCAGAATAGGTTCCCCATTATAATGAAGCGTACCTGGACTCTCGTGCATCATTAACTGTATGCCTAGCAAGAACAACTTCCACTAGAAGAAAAAAAGTATAGCAAATTTCTTATCTTACTTTCTTCTGGATTGTTCCTGTCAATTTAACACAATGAAGGCCGAAAAACTTGGTCACTAACGTGTTCTCAAATGCTCGAACATGATTATAGTACGCTGATAACATCCTTAAGAGTACCTACATACATTCAAAACATACCAAATTTTTATCTGAATGGTGCAAAAATCCGGTTACCAAACAAGGTCAGTATGCTCTAAACAAGATAAATCAATGAAAGGGAGAATTACTTTTGCTTCCGTCTTCTTTATTGTCTTAATCATGTAACGATCATCACTACTTAAGTAAAAGAAGCTTCCACTTTTTCCAGGGGAGGACAGCTCTCGAAGGGCTTCGTTCCCACAGATTGATAACATGTAATCAGCTGCATCCACCTTAAAAAGCTTCCTCAAAGCTCTAGTAAAGATTGAATGGTCAGGCTCTACTAAAATGGGCAGATTATCAAAAAAAAACACACACACACACACACACAAAAAAAAAAAAAAAAAAAAAAAAAAAAAAAAAAAAAAAAAACCAACTTCAGAGTAATAAGATGAATCCATTAAGCTAACCTGAAAACTAAAGGGCAATAGTCTTTCCACTTAAATTCACAGGAGCTATGTGGAGGAGTATACTTGGAGCCTTCTGATGGAAATTTTGTCCACACTTTTTCCTTTGGATCGAAAGCAGACGACTTCAGATCAAGGGATGTTGGTGGAGCAGGTCTACCAACCGCATGCCTGCAGAATCACACTCCGAGTTCATTATCAGTACGCCGCCAAATCAGTACATATTGACTAATTCGAAAAGAAAAATGAATAACCAATGGCTTAATAATTATAACTTCATCATGTTGCAAGTTTGCAACATGAAATTGTTTATAGCTTTACAGAAAGTGCTGAAGGAGTGACTTCTTGATGAAATTTGCTTGATTATCATGATTACATAAGAAACTTGTTTGTAAAATGTAAAGATTGTTACATGTCATGAAGTGTAGCAATCAATACTCATTTTCAAATTAAGAGTAACTTCTGTTTCTTTCACTGACTTCATCAGATTTGGGCTAAAAATCGTGTAAGAGGTGGCATTAGACATCACCACATCAAATTGACACACAATAAGAACGAAATAGATGAGGTTCGAGTTTACTAGAGCCAAATAAGGTGCATTAACAGGATAACATGACTACAATACATTGAAAGTAGACCATAAACGAAACTAAAATGGGGCAAAAAGAGGAGAAAAGTACCTGATTCCTAACTGCAGATTGAGCATAAGCTCAAAGTTTTTATGACCTCTAGTAATAATCTCTCCTTGTTTCTTCCCTACTTTCGGTATCCTAAGTGGTTTCCCTGGAGTCCCTGGTGGTGCCATCTTAAAACTAGTGCAATTTTCAAGACTTAGACCATCCAAATCACCGTCTTTTCCACTATTAGAATTCCTTCTGTTACTACCATCACTTGAAAAACTTCCTTCTGACTCCAACATGTGTCCACCAGGAGTTATTCTCGAGTCAACTGACATTCGTGCAGGCCTACTCCTTGGATCCGTTCCTTTCGGTGACTTCCATGCCGCGAGCTTCTTCTGCGATGGAAAAACAGTAATCTTTTCAGTTGCACATACCTTACACCCACTCAAAATATCATTATACAACTCTTGAGGATCCCAATTTTCATAAGCTTCCTGATCTAACAGTTCAGGTTCAAGACAATGATAAGTCCCAAGCATCTCTTTCGGATCTCTACTCCAATAGCCCTCGTAGTAACATCCATTGTCCCATTTGTATATACCATCTCCTGTTGGCAAAGAATCAACCCAATTTCCTTCGAAGCAGTTTCCATTCGCCCAAATCATCACGCCAGGACCTGAAATCACCCCATTTTTCCATTCTCCTACGAAACAAGTCCCATTACTCCATTGATATTTCCCCTGCCCTTCTTGAACACCATGCCTCCATTCTCCATCATAAAAGTCCCCATTCTCATAAGTCATAACACCATAACCATGCTTCATGTTCATCACCCAAAAACCTTTATACGCCTCCCCTTCAGGGCCGGTATAAGTACCTTTCCCATCCATATAACCGCTCTTAAACTCACCTTCATAAATAGCTCCTGAAGGCCAACTAAACCTACCTTTCCCTATGGCTTGGCCTCGAAACCACTCGCCTACGTAAATGCACCCATCAGTCCACAAGTACTTCCCATGGCCATGGGGGCAATACTCGAACCATTGTCCTACATAATAATCTCCATTCGGAAGAAACTTCTCTACCGGTACAGGCTCAATGTTCTCACTTCCATGGTTTTTGTTGTGTCCATCATCAAAGATAATATGACCATGATCGTCGAAGAAATCTTCGTGCACATGGGCCATAGATGTCGAGCCAAATATGCTGTGTGCTCGTTTCTTTGCAGCAGCTTGTGTTTTTCGCAATGTTGCTTCCCATGCTTTCGCCATTCCACAAGATTTGATGATGATCTCTGCTTATATTGGGTTAGAAATAGAATCCATTCTAGGAATATACTACTTTTCTTGAAACAAACACACAGTTTTTGTTCATTTCATCAAAGATATATAATGTTATGTACAAGTTTATCTAAGATGATCATAAAATGTTTATGTTACATGTACCTGTTGTCAACCATTAATCTTTCTGAGAAATTCCCACACGTAAAAAATCATCAAATCTTCGATTTTGTACATTGCAACAGATGAATGTGATGCACTCTGCTCGTCCTCTGAAAAATCTATATGATCAAGCACTTAGATTTAAAATTTAACCAAACCAAAAACAATTTCTAGCGCGTATTAAAATTATTATATTAATTTATAGATTTTTTTATAAATGTTTTTCCTAGATAATTTAGGCTAATCTTGTTTTAATTTTGTTTTGGTTGTAACACACAAGTGAATGGAAAATTTTCCTACACAATAGTGGTTGCAAAAATACCATTCACGAAAAGCGGAGGAAATTGCTAATCTACAAATGACAAGAAGAAGAGCTATTCTAACAATGAGCTACAACTGCTAATGCCCACAAAACAAGCAAGAAATGAACGGACACTCAGTAATATTTTTGCCATACTTAGAACTTGGTATCCCTACAAACTAGGAGATGTGTGATAATCCTCGTTGACGAATTGAAAATATGTGGGATATAATAACACCTTCATATGCTAAATTGCTAATGCTATGTATTGTTATTTGTGGAGGATTATACCAATTTATAAGAGAAATTTTGACCTTCAAACTCTTAAATTTAATCAATGAATAGTTTGGTTTTAAATCATATCATAAAATTAAAGCAAGAAAAATAAAACAAAATTTCTTAGAAGAATGAGCACCTTAAATTGGAAATATGGACATTGATAGTTGTCGTATAATTTTGTGTGATTAGTGTTAAGAATTTTTTAAGTTGTAGTATTGTTTAAACTCAACTATTATGTTGGTTAAATAACGATGTCATGTAATGTAATTTGTTGGACGAGACAACTGATTATTTTTTATTTTGTTCACAATATTGATCATAATTGGTTACAAACTTACAATTATATGGATGTTAGATGGGTTCGGTTAAATTTTTTGCAATGGTACTAAAGATTTGAGATCAAATTATAATCGTACGGAGTATTCTTTTCAGGATTGGAACCTTCGCTTCGTACTCTTTCTCTGACTCTCCATTGCTTACTTCATCTCTCGTTCCCATCAAGCATTCGAGTAATAATGATTAGCGAATTATAATCAAATGTGGATTTTTGTCAAGAAAATTATTAATCCTCTCTTTGCAAAGTTTACACAATTTTCTTTTACGAAAAGGTTACACAATTTTAATAATAAAGCGAGCTTTCATTTTTATTTAATTTTTAAATAATTAATTCGAGGGAGTATGTACTACAACTCTACTTGGATAATTTGCCAACAATTTGGTTTCTGCGTAATCCTTTTAATTTCTCAACATATAGGGGACTAATGATCAATAATTTCTACCCAAAAGTCAGTATTTTTTGAGCAATTCAAATTGAGTGGAAGATTATATTAAATCAAGGTTCGTAAAGCAGTGATGCATCGTAGATCAAGAAAAAAAGTGTCTCTAACAATTGTATTGGATAACCTTCTCAACGTCAATAGCTTCATTTTATTTAATAGTACATGTTTGCACAAAGCTTAGTTGTTTCATGGTTTGCAAATGCATAATATAGTTCATGTATCATTGTCCTTTGAACATCTATACATCATAAAGAATTTAATACCGATTACATATAAAGAGTTAATTGCACAATCTTGAATTCTTGATCCTCGACATGTACACAGGCATACAGTCATTTGGAATCACAATTGCAAAGAGATACGATCTCCCATGAGAGGTAAAGATGGTATGCGCAATCGGACTGAACACAATTTGATCTCATGAATGTAAGACCGATGTTTGAAGAAACTCATTGCATAGTTCAAGATGCTAGATTATTGGTAGACGTTGCATAATCGGGTGTACTGTACAACATTTTTACAGGCGCTTTGTGAATAAATTAGTAAAATAAGCATGACAAAAAACACGAGGTAGGAGGAAAATTTTCCTTAGTTTTTTCACTTTCATATGTACAAGTGTTTTGTTTGACACATTCATCTCTTGTGCCGGAAACGATTTCTTCATTGTGCAGTTTCAATGTCTACTTTCACAGGCGGAAAAGTTTCAATGTCTACTTTCAATAATACGAGTAATATTTAGCCCAAATATACGAGTATCCTTTTCCCTCCATAACTTCCTCTAGTCTTTAGAGGTGGCTTTGAGGGAAATTGAAAATAATGGGGAAAAAGTATGGCTTTAAGATGAAGGTATGATGACCATGATCCTATTCCCCTAAACATGACTAAGCTCTCGCTCGTCCCCCTAAATTGTGGATAATTCCATCACATAATAATGCTATCTCAAATGAGTACAGTTTCATTCCAATATGAGTAATCGAAGATCCTCATAGGTATGAAAAAAAAATACTAGCAACAACAAAAATTATAACTCCAGAGTCCAGACAGTATTAAGACCAGTAACAGAGACGTGATAATGTGATATTAAGCAGCAATGAGGATTAACTTGCTAAACTTGATATACCCCAACTGCACCATACCCCAAGTCTCACCTCAGTCATTCTAGAACCACACATTACATAACAATGCACTGTGAAAATAGAACACACTAGACTTTGCTCATATTGCTTCTATATGTGCAAAGATTTTGATCTAAAAATACCGATTAAGATGAGGAAAAAATAATCCAATTCCAACTTACTCAAAACTGGCCATAACAACATATAGTTATCAATGAAAAGGTGAGAAAACAGGCAATAACAAGCAAATGGAGTACAATTTTCATCATTAGTAATAAAAATGCTGCAATACCATAAAAGCTAATTTGCCACAATGGGCGAAATAGCAGCAAACAAGCCAAGTCTTGAAAAAAAAGCAAACCAAGTCATGAAAACATGAAACAAACAAACTCTGGTCTAAGGAACATACTCCAGTGACCAGTTATTATTAAGAGTACCCCCCACAGGCTAAAAATGCCATAACACGATTGTAGACCTGGGGTTATCTCAACTAATCTAATATAAGCATTGTGCATAACCTTTTGCTTCAAAATTTTAGTATGTAGAAACTTAAGGCTGCCCAAAAGCAATTGCCCAGATACCATCACTTAAATCAGCTTCCTCAACTGATTTTATTGATGGTTTTTGCAACGCCAACTAACATCCCGTATTTTCATATCATCGATCCAAGGCCTAGTAGTGTAAGCTAATATTTATCGAGCATAAAAAGCCGATCCAACCACATGCCGATCTAAAGAGACATGCCCCCATCCATTCAGCCAGAATAGCACTAACCCTTTAGATTTCCAATGCAGTCCCCCTACTCGTCCGTTGACTTCATCCATCCTATCCTGGATACCTCGGCACCTGCAGAAACAATTATGACTTTGTGAGTGCACATACTTGATAAAGTACATTCAGACATATTATCAACACAATCTTACACATCACAGTATCACCACAAATAACATCTAACCCCATCCCCACACCCAAGTCAAACACAGCAAAGCTTCTCAGGGACTATCAATCCCAGAAACTTGAACAGGCATCATCAGTGATCAACTATTTATGCTTTCAACTGATTGTACTTGTTGCATCATCAAATGGAAGTAGTTGTAAGCATGTGTTAAAGATGGCTGCACACTGAAACTCCTAGAAAAAAAGGACTCAACGGTCAACATACTCTAAAGACAAAGCTTTATTTAGGCAAATAGATAATTTTGTAGAGCTGGGACCTCAAAAAATAAGCAGCACCTTCAGTTTAAAATCACATTTAACCTAGATGGACAGCCCACCTAAAAACAAAATTCTGAAAAGCCAATATAATAATCACCACCTTGTAGAAAATATACGTTTCAGCAACAACCAAGAGCATTCATGAATAAACGGTTGTTACAAAAATTTCCCTAAAATTGATTTGTCCTCAACCATCAAACACTAAGCATCTTGGACTCAGGGATACACATCAAATGCAACCATGCATGTGCACATACAAGTGCGCCACATCTTTAAATTGCAAAATAGGTGGTGATCAGACCTGTATTATAGGTTCCTGTAATATAGAATTGACACTAATACAAATATGGGGAGGAATTTAGGAGTATCAAACTTGTAATATTTAGAAGCACAGAACTGATTCATGCGTAAGATCCAAGGTCTGTCAAAGATATATCATATTAAGGGTAGAAAAGTATGGAGTAAGAAAGGGGATGGACGTGAAAGAAAAAGGTCAATGAAGTAAAAAGAGTGACCCGAAAGGTGTAAATATTATGAGATGAAGGGGGGGCGTTCAAATGATCCAAGGTCTGTCAAAGATATATCATATTAAGGGTGGGAAAAGCATGAAAGGATGGAGTAAGATAGGGCATGTGCGTGAAATAAAGAAAAAGTTGAAGTAAAAAGAGTGACCCAAAAGGTGTAAACATTGTGAGGTGAAGGTAGGGAGGGAGGGGGTAAGATGATAATATGGAGTTGCTATAAATAAAATATAAAAGTGATTCAAATTCTGCAACACTCCAAGTGAAAGATAAGCTCAACAGTCCAAAATAAAGGGAGTGTGTAATCGTTCCCTATGTTACTTCGACTTTTCATTTAATCATCCATGCTGGTATCGAACACTCAACATTCCGAAAAGGTTTATGGAATCCATATTCAACACTTCATTGCTCTCAGACACTTGAATATATTTGAACCACATAACTGTAGAAGAAAATATAGATATAATAGAAACGAAAAAAAAAAAAGAATATATGCCATATGTGACCTCAAAAAGGCATCACTAAGCATTTCAACAGGAATTAACAATCATGTGAGCCTAGTACGTTGAAATTTATGTAAATTTCTAAAAACAATAATAAACTAAACTTATGCCATGGTTCCACACATATAATTTTAGGATGCTATCCCCATGTCTGAAATGTATAACCTTGAAATGTCAACCCTTGGACACATACCAAAACCCGACACTTGTTCTAAGTAACCAAAAGTAGTTCTACTAGGTATTGGCACGCAATTCATGGCCAAAAACCTGAACATTGTTGTGATAGGAGTAACAATGAAACTATAGCACATTCCTCAGTTGAATCAAACCAAAAACAATAAAATAGACTTTGTGAAACTTATGACACCTAAAAGTCGATTCTAACCATTGAAAGCCGTGTCAATCCTAAATTTTTGCCAAAGTCTGAAAATAAACTTTTAGTCCCACTATTGAGTTAACATCTTCCAATTGGGGGATGTCCCACAACTTAATTTAACATATAATTTATAGCAACAAAAGATTCATGTTTAATTCAATTGTTCAAGAAGGTTATGTTGCACACTCACGCCTTGTTTTTTCTCTATTTCTACATGCAAAAGATAGATAGGTCGAGTTTAACAATAGTTGTGATCGTAGAATAACCATATTCAATTCATAAAATAGCCAAGATTCTAATAGAGAACATCAAAAAAAATCCTACCAAGTACCAACAGCAGTAGGCTTCCTTTTTTTCACCGGAAATCCCCTGCTGACAGATTTAATCTGAATGTACTAGCCCAAAACTTATTGCACTGATCTGAATATTTTGATCGTGAATAATCCTTTTATGAACTTATATTTCAAAGAGGGAAAGAAATTTATTGGCAAGGCAGTAAGTTACAACAAATGTACTTCATTTGCAAATAAACCAGCAGAAATCCAAGGGGGTAAATTCAAAAATAGATCTATATGACGAGTCAAATTCTTGTCAAACCCACAGATCAAAGGGCAGAGGAAGAATATTCAAAACAAAGAAAAACATATTTGCCAATGATAGATCCTAGATTTCACACCCAAGCCTTCAACATTAATCAAATTACTCACAGCCAAAGACTTCCAAATTTTTGCGTTTACTAAAAGTTCGTGCTATCATTTTTCGGACTAAGGCTTTGTTGTTGTTGTACTAAAAGTTCGTGCTACAGCCTTAAAAAAATCCATTTATATAGATAATCAGAGTGGTGTGAGGAAAAAATAACTTGTCATGCCAGACAAAAATATTGACCAAATTGGTGGCTTATATAAAAACATATTACATTAGAGATGGATAATATATACCTGTTTCAATAGCAAGGGCCTGCAACACTCCCAAGATCACTCAAGCTTCAACAAAAACTTATTATCAATGCAGGACCAAAGCAGCGCAGAAACTTAAGCATCTGCCTGTGGATAATCACCTCAGTGGATTCTTCATAACGAAGACTAGTCAGTAAATCTACAATTCACAATGATTGATCCATACAAAAACTGGAAAACTGAGATAAGTTAACAGACCTTCTAAAGCCTTTGACATAGTTTTCACACCAGAAAATGACCTTCCCACAGAGATTGGCCTTGAAACTGTGGTGCAAATGGAATTGCCTTCTGATTTCCTAGCTGCCGTTGTTGCTCACAGAGATTCAGCTGACCAGGAAATTGGTAGTCTTGCCAAAGTCTATTGTTCTCAACTGGGGTTTGGATTACTGAAGCCTGTTTACCAGGGAAAGGAAAGCTAATTGCCCCTGGCGAGTCATTCCACTTGCTAACATGACTATATAAAGACCCATTAGAATTGGTGCAGAGGTCAAACCCTGTGTCTTGCTTTGTTGAGGATGGCATCTGATATCCATCAAGCCAGCTATAATCATCCATCATTGGGTTTCCATCCTTCACACTTGGCTCATGCTGAGGTTCAATAGCATATTTAGGAGTAGCAGGTGTAAAACCTGGTGGAGGGCCTAAGCGTCTGATTGGCCGACTGACTGGATTTTTTTGAGAACCAACTGGAAAGACTGACCGGGGCTTGATGATAGTGGAAATGTTCAAGTCAGGCCCAGACGATATAATAAAGTTAGTTTTAGATGGCATGACAGCTTCTGAAACCTGCACTGGGTAGCCATTACTAGTATTGGAATTGACAGCATGCGAGAACGGAAGTGATAGGGCAGCAGATTGCAAAGGAGTGAAATGCTCTGAAGGCTTTTGGTTCATTATATGCCCATTACCCATCAAACTCAAATTCCTAAATCCATTCAACACAGAAGCCTGCTGCTCAGGCAACCAGCCAGAACTAGGAAGTTGTGTAGGTTGCATATGTTGGGAGGACGCATTAGCAACAGACATGGATGGTCTCAACGTTGCATCAAGACCATTCTGAACAATTCCATTGTGAAAAACTCCATTAAGAAGGTTTCCATTTGGTGATGCTGACACAGGTTGATTATAAACTCCCAAATTTCCGCCAGACACATTAACAACAAGCCCAAGATCCTCACAAGAAGTCAAAGCTGGATACCCAACATCAGCTTGCTTATCTGCAGCTGAAGGCTTAAAAACAATAACCTCTTCTTCATCATCAACCTCAGCCACCTTTGCTGGTCCCAAAGCTCTCGGACTTGATTTCTTTTCACCTGATAATTCTTGGCCCATGATATTTGACATCAATGTTTCAGGTGAAAATTCAAGACATAATTGCGCCTCAGCACCAAAAATGAATTTCTGCAAGTCAGAATCAAAATAAACACCCTGCTGCTCAACCCGAACAACATTAGCAAAGACCTTGCCAGCAGCTATTATCCTCTGGACACGAGTTGTTTTCTCCTTAATTCCACCATCACTACCATTCCCAAATGTATGCTTCCTAGAGAAGTCAAGGATTTGATGTGCAGGGTGGAGGGGCAGAAATCCCCTCAACTCAAAGTCTTCCCATAGAGCAAGGCGATTGGATGTTTCACCTTCTTCATACTTGCTCATGTTGGAAAAGCATGTCTCATCTTCATCAGTAGAAAGCAACCCACTTGACAGCAGCTTGTTGAACAAGGTAATACAGGAATTCCAAAAGAAAATTCTAGCATTGGCTTGAATTTCCCCTGCTTCGCTGCAAGTCGCAACATCTGGATGGCAAGCTAACCATTCCACAAAGACTAAAATTCCAGGCATTAGATAACATGATAAAGGATCGCGCAACTGCAAGCATCGCTCAACAATATGTCCCATAAACTCAAAAACCGCAGTATACGCATTCTGAAGGAGGACCGAACGCTGTAGGATTTCAGCATATGACTGATTCTCAGATTCTCTCTTCACATTGTGTACCGTAAATATAAGAATTGCCACCAGCCTGACAATAGCAAGCCCACATTCAGCAGCATCTGACCCAAACTTGTATTGGTCTTCCAGGCCAGACGAAAGAAGCACAAGAAAATCATTCTTGGCCATTGATAACACGTCTGCAAAGGTTTCCAGACTGGACACATAAGCAGTAAAAGTTAGATACAAATCATTAATACAAGAGAAGATCAAACCAAATTACTATATATAATACCTTGTGCGGGTGAACAATATGCCATTCACTCTGACAAATTTAATGCAGAACCCTTTCAAAGTTTCAGGAATACTAGGTGCCTTTTCATTACTTGGACTGGTTTGGCGTCTGTTTTCTTTCGACAAAGTGCCCCTACCATCACCTCTTCCTTTCCCTTTTCCAGACATCCGTGAAGTGGCTGCTTTTACTATCGGAGTTTTAGACTCCCCTAGAAGTTGTGTATAATTCTGACGATTCTGCCACAGAAAACAAAAAATGTAGTTAGAATTATTGTCACACTAAGATTGTAGACTTCAAGGCAGAAACAATTTCCTCATTCATAAAAAATAAGGATAATAATACAGGAGCAAAGAAAATCAAGTAAGCATCTAAACAAGGCAGCATGCATCTTCTGTGTATGAGAAGATGACACAAGCTTATGAATTTTCAATCATGACATTGACTAGTGTCTACAATGCTTAATCTTAGCTAAGAAAGCAACTTTAAACACAGCATCAAAGTGATTTCAAACATATTAGCATGCAAAAGCCATATATGAACACCAACAAAATCATATAGGAATCTCCCACACAAAAATCAGGCTGCAAAATAGTCATCATGGTAAACAACTATATTATATACTAACATTTGCTACAGTACACTTAACTGATCAAGTAAACAGTCTAGTTGTCCCACAAAGTAGTGAGTTCATCACAACAGAGATGCGAAGTGTCCAAATTTTCATAAAATCAGCTCTAAATTTCTCTCCTGCCTATCATAGTGGTATACATTACAAATACAAACTTTGGTAAGAATTCAAAAGCCAGTTCACTGCCACCTCACCTGCATAACTTCTAGTCTACTGACCAACGTCTATACTCACTAACCAAAAACATTAATCCCCCTCCAAGGATGCTAGATGTGCTCTGAGCCTCTAAATCAAACTCTCCAAGGTCAAACTTTGACGACTAATTTCATAGTAAAGATATGGGACAATGATATTCTCAGTATGATTCAATATAAATTGAGAGAAAACAAATATCAATGTTTTAGCTTGAAAAAAGATAGATATCATTCATATGAAATGGAATGAATAACTAAATCGAATTGAAAAATTGGAGAGAGAAATCATTGATACAAACAATAGAGAAATAATTAAACTTTTCACATGCAATCTATTGACATGGTTTTCCAAATCCCCCTTCCCCTCCCTCCTCAAGCAACACTTATTATTTCAATCAATTTTGTAGCATATATTTATGTAAGCCGAGGTTATAAAACACCCAAGAGGGGAACAGGGATTGAGCATATGCACAGGTATCAACTGTTAAGTGATAGTATTAGTTATTGCAATGCTTGAAGATGGATTTTCACAAATTCTGTCCAAGTACATGGGTTTAAATTAGAACATTTTCCTGTTAGCATGACGCATTGGAAACCAATTACTGTTCAGGTCAAGGAGAATTTGTTCAAAAGTAAAACTATGAGCATTATGTAATGGGAGTCTCAAAAGACCACAATCATTTTCAAGCTTTACAGCTTCACTGGGTTAAGAAGGGGACATGAGAATCAAGTCAAAGGGGAAGAGGTGGTTCTTCGATAATCACAAGGAGATAAGACATAATGCTTCAACAAAACTTTTTCCTACACTCTTGAAATAGGGGTCCTGCTATACTAAATCAGAAATCGAGCTATAACCTCATAAAGCCAAAGGCTATGGCTATTACGATTTGTAATTTCCTTCCGTGCTAGCTTAGAAGAATTGTTAGACCTTACACCCATTCATAGTCACCCAAAGTCCCAAACAACAAATGCTTAAGGAAAAAAAGGATCAGATATGATCAAGTTTATAAAGCTTTAGTACATAGAATATACAAAAAATATACATCTGAACAAATAACCGCCCCCTCCAACTAAACAGAGGAGGGGATAAAGCTGCAAGAAGAACATAGCACGAGTCTCATCATCTAATTACTTACCCTCTCAAATGCAATGATTAGATTGTCCCTTGCAGTTGTAAAAGGGCTTTCAACAGCCAAACTCCGAAAATAGCGGTAAGTTGCAGCCAACTCATCACCATGATATGCAGCCACAATAGCAAGCTAGAAAACAGCAAATATAAAATGAAGGGTCATGCAACAGAAAACAGACCATTTCAAATGACTTGTCTACAGCAAAAAAAAAAAATAGCGAACACCAATAAGAAATACCTGGTGGTGGGGATTACCACCAGACGGCCACAGAGAAGATGCTTGCACATAATAGCTAGTAGCTGCAGCAAAGTCTCGAGTTTTGGATTCACCATCCCCATAGAGAGCTTTATAGCGAGCAAGATCACCAAGGTAAATCAAGCAGCGGTGGCAAGAAATCAAGCCTTTCTTTATATCAGCGATTTTTTGTCCATCTTTCGAGAGCAAGATCTGATTATCATGATCATCTGAGAAATAATCAAGAGACAGGCCATATTTTGCCCTTATTTTCAACATGAGCTCATGGTAGAATCCTGTTGCCTCTGACAGAAATGTTTTAAACTGAGAGCGTATTCTAGCAAGTCGATCAGGACGTGCAGGACCACCATTTCCATTTTGGGCAGCAGAGGAAACCTTAGAAGAAGAAGCTGCATTATAGAGCGCCCGTAGCTCCTCTATCCGCCGGTAATGCAACTGCCATAAAGCAAGCTCAATTTCAAGCTGCTCAGAGAAGGAAAGATCTTCCAGTATTATGGCTTCATAGTTTTCTCGCAGTTGTTGCCATACATTAGGATCTGAAGGAACTCTTGCATGCGCAGATTTACGTCGGGTATTTTCCAGCTCGACATTCTGCACATCATCAAAACACAAAAAAAAAATTCATATCTATGGTGCTGCAATTTGGATGCCTCAAAAACAATACCAAAATCCACACAAACTATCAGAGTTAAACTGACAAACAACAGTGCCACACACATTGTTAGAACTTAGAGACTGATAATTAGGCAGAACTGAATAAGATGTGACAATGCAAACAAGAAG